ACAAACAATTAGCACAAAAGCAATCAGTATTATCAGCCAGTCCCTGAAAATAGTAACTTCTTAAAGCTCTAACACATTTAATCTTAAATCATGCCATTAACTTGAGAGTGGAGGCCAATTAAGGCTTGAGAAACATTAGCAGAGTTGTTAGAAATATATACACAACAGTTTTTATAAAGCACCGGTGTCCCCTTGAACTTAGTTAAGATATCTAATGCCATCTGATTTTTGTAAATTAGCTTTCTCACTGGTGTGATTTCCGTGTTAGTAAAAGGATGCCTGTAGCTGCATCACTTAGTGCTCTCTTGGTAAAGTTAGTTAGGGATTCCATGTGCCACACTACATCTTTTTTTTTTTTTTTTGTACTGAGGATTGAACCCAGGGGTGCTTAACCAGTGAGCCACATCCCCAGCCCCCTTTAAAAAAATTTTTTTTGTAGTTGTAGATGGAGAGAATGCCTTTATTTTATTTATTTTTATGTGGTGCTAAGGATCAAACCCAGTGCCTCACACATGCTAGGCAAGCACTCTACAACCTCAGCCCTCCCCAGCCCTTTTCTATATTTTATTTAGAGACAGGGTCTTGCTACTTGCTAAGTGCCTCCCTAACTTGCTAAGGCTGTTTTTGAACTCGAGATCCTCCTGTCTCAGCCTCTCAGCCTCCTGAGCTGCTGGGATTACAGGTGTACACCACAGTGCCTGGCCCACATTACATCTTTTAGACCAATCTGAAGGGTAAATATCATAGGTAGATAATCACAATAGTGAAAAACAGAAACACAAATGGAGTTTGCCTATCTGGAGGGTTAGGAAGATTTGTAAGTCTGTGAGGTTTCACTCAAATTGACTCAGAACAAACCTGTGATCCTTTCAGAGTCCTTTGTGATAGATATTGGGCATTCCCACACAAGAATCCTTTTTTTTTTTACCTCCCAGTTTTACTTACTTTTGAGAGGACTGATACAAGTGTACTTTTTAAATTATATTAAAAGAATCACTGTCTTGAGGCTGGGGCTATGACTCAGTGGCACTGTGCTTGCATGGCTTGTGTGAGGCTCTGGGTTTGATTCTCAGCACCACATATAAATAAGTAAAGTAAAGGTCTGTTGACAACTAAAAATATTTTTTAAAAATCCAGCAGTCCAGTTTCACCAGTCTTGAGGTGGAAGTACTGGGTTTTAGCTTTAATGTCTGTAATTTTTTTGGGGGGGAGGAGGTACTGAGTATTGAACTCAGGGCCCCAGCCCTATTTTGTATTTTATTTAGAGACCGGGTCTCACTGAATCGCTTAGTGCCTTGCCATTGCTGAGGCTGGCTTTGAACTTGCTATCCTCCTGCCTCAGCCTCCTGAGCCAATGGGATTACAGGCATGAGCCACTGCACCTGGCCTAATGTCTATAATTTTACAGCTACTTCTTCCATTTGATTTAGGTCAGTATTGGTACAGGAAGTCAGTATTATATCCTAACAGTCCCATAGGTAATGGTTGTTGTCTTAAGTCAGGTTGTTCTGTGACAAGTACTTCTGCAAAACACTAACAGGTAAATTATAAAGTAAAATTAGCAAGAACAACAAAAAACATACTTGGTTTGTATAATAGCTTTGAGCCAAGAAGTATAATTTCTATAATAACACCAATGTATCTTTGGTATCTATTTAACTCCTACAAAAATGCATAAATAGGGGCTGCAATTTTGGCTCAGTGGTAGAGCACTTGCCTAGTATATGTGAGGCAATGGGTTCAATCCTCAACAACACATAAGAATACATAAAATAAAGGCATCCATCTGCAACTAATTTTTTTTAAATATTTATTTTTCTGTTTTCGGTGGACACAACATCTTTGTTTGTATGTGGTGCTAAGAATCGAACCCGGGCTGCATGCACACCGGGCGAGTGTGCTACCGCTTAAGCCACATCCCCAGCCCCAACTAATTTTTTTTAAATCCATAAATACATTAACTCAATCACATATGATATCCTATAGGACTGGGTTGTAGCTCAGTGACAAAGTGTTTGCTCTATCACTCTATCACTCAATTCTCAGCACCACAGATAAATAAAGATCCATCAACAACCAAAAAAAAAAAAAAATTAAAAAAAAGAAATCCCAGGACTGGGAATACAGCTCAGTTGATAGAATACAAGGCCCTGGGTTCAATCCCCAGCACTTACAAAAAAAAAAAAAAAATCCCATATAAGTTTTACTTTCTTTTACAACTCTTTTACAATATTTATAGCCAACTTAATCATATATGCAACTTTTTAAGATTTAGCTTCACAAACCTTCTGCAACTTACTTTGACTTTTTTGGGGGTGTGGGGGGGGGGAGTACCGGGGATTGAACTCAGAGGCACTTGCCCACTGAGCCACATCTCCAGACCTATTTTGTATTTTATTTAGAGACAGGTCTCACTGAGTTGCTTAGGGCCTCACTTTTGCTGAGGCTGGCTTTGAACTTTCGATCCTCCTGCTTCAGCCTCCCAAGCTGCTGGGATTACAGGCATGCACCACACCGGGCCTTACTTAGACATTTTAGAATTTGTTTCATCCTTATTTTTGTCCTCTCTTTTCATCTTGAACTTTAGGACGAAAATATTACTTTACCCTACAAGATACTTTCTAATCCAGAAACATTCCCTTCCCCCTTTAATTTTCCTTATCAAAATGTATTTCCATGCATATAACTTTCAAACATCTCTTCCCTAGTTGCTGAACTGTTAAGTTTATTCTTTGAAATAATCATTATTAATTTGAACAAATTTCTCCCTTTAATAAGATGAAATACTTTATGCTTTTCACCATACTTTACAAAACACAGACAAAACCGTTTGTACTCTTTGCATACAGAATTACATTTATTAATTGGAATTTTATTTCTCAGTAACCTTCCTTTTAAAATTTTACTGTTTGGGGCTGGGGATGTGGCTCAAGTGGTAGCGCGCTTGCCTGGCATGCGTGTGGCCCAGGTTCGATCCTCAGCACCACATACCAACAAAGATGTTGTGTCCGCCGAGAACTAAAAAATAAATATTAAAAATAAATAAATAAATAAAATTTTACTGTTTTTTTCCACTTATTAATTTATAAGAACACATTTAATGTATCCAAATACATGTTACTTTATGGATTTAAGAAGGCAAGAATACTTAAATTTATGTTTAGCAGTTGATATTTCAGTATTTTAACTTTGCAAATTAATCAGATGTCTCCTCTAACAAATACACTTATAAATGTTTATCCCATTTATGTTAAGTCTAATTTGCCCATTTTAACTTTAAATTACCCAAAAGCCAGGTATTTGAGGCACTGGGCTCAATTAACATTTTTTCCTGTTGAAGAAAAATCCTAAAAGCAACGAACATTACACTTTAAACATTTTATAGAAAACAATGCTCTCTTGAATGGCTGACCACTTTGGAAAATGTGTGGGTCAGTAATTTTAAAGACATCATTATTTTCATAAAGGAATATATGGCATATCTATATGAGACTCAAGTTCACTTTTGGATCTGATTTGAGTCAGTCCAGATATTTAAAGAATGTGGGGGCCATGAGGCACATTCTAACACTGAGTTACAACCTCAGACCCCCTTCATTCTTTTCTTTTTTGGGGAGGGGTACTAAGGATTGAACTCAGGGGAGCTCAACCACTGAGCCTCATCCCCAGCCCTTTCTATATTTTATTTAGAGACAGGGTCTCACTAAATGGCTTTCAGCCTCACTAAATTGCTCTACCACTGAGCTACAACCCTAGCCCTATTAATTTATTTGTATATTTAGTACAGTTACTGTAGTAAGTAAAGGTATAGAGATACTGTCACATAAACATACACATACACGTTACATGTATGATATGCAGTTTTTATACAATATTAAATATATCATTATATATTTCTTTATATTTACATATGGAATATTTATATTTATTATTTGTATACTATTACATTTGTTTACTATTACATATTTATTATTTGTTTACTATTACATGATTTCTGTACTGGTAAATATTATACATCACTATATTTCTATATAACCATATACATATCACGCCAAATGCCATTATGTTCATACTCCTAATACATATTTTATAAATATATATATTTTATACACACACACTAGACGAGCTCAAGGGAGCGGAGCATGTGGAAACTCCTCTCTTCTGCCAAAAGTCGGAATGTGTTCGTTCATTTACTGATTAATGAGAAGGTTACCAGAACATAACTCAGTGCACTCAGAACAGTGCCTAGAACATGGGAAATGCTGTAATTTTTCCATTACATTTATGTTTTCTGCACTAGATCGCGATGCATATCTAGTCTTTTCGGTGGGCGGGAATTAAAAATGTTTTAAGAAAAAAATGTTTGAGGAACACAATTACGAAGGGACGGAGAGTGTCCTAAACTACACCTCTTTAACCCTCCCAATAACACTGAATTCTACTCCATTTTTTAGTTCCCATTTTCCACCTGGGGGAAACCGAAGCTCTGTGATGACAAAAATTAAAGACAGCGCTACCCAACAGCGGAAGAGGCGTTAGAAAAGGCGCAGAGTGGCTTCCACGTGCTCGGGTATTTTAACAACGCACTTTACTTAAAGTTCAAACCCCCAGCAGTCATTTCGCTTCACGCCATGCGTGGAATGAATAGGCGCTATCATGCCCGTTGCATGCTGGGAAGTGTAGTCCATAGGCTCAATGACCACCCAGATTCAATTTGGGAGGAGCGGGGGAGTAATTCGATCTTTTTTTTTTTTTTTCCTTTTAGTTGTCAAAAGACCTTTACTTTATTTACTTTTATGCGGTGCTGAGAATCGAACCCAGTGCCATACACATGCTGGGCAAGCTCTCTACTACTGAGCCACAACCCCAGCCTCAGCAATTCGTTCTCGGTGTTGGAACAAAAGAACAAAGAATCAGTTCTCCTGCGTTGCGACGTTTTGAACACGTAGTGCGTGAGTTCAGCCGTTCGGGTCGTGCCCATTGCATGCTGGGAACGGAGTTCTCGTGACCCGGATATGTCGACCGAAGATGATGGGACCCACGTTGTACGTTCAGATCGGGTCTGGATTTGGCGTACCAGGACGTCAAGTTTGCCCCGCTTGTAATACCGCTTAGGTATGCGTGACAGGCATTCAGTTCAACTACGAAAACAAACTGAAGCCCTATCGTTTCTCACCAGTTTATGGTCTTGCTGTGGCTCTGACTGCTGGCGCACCACCTTCCTTCCTCCTGCACCTCCCCGCACCAAGAGCTAAGGTAGGATGTGGATTCTGGCCAAGACTGGAGGCATGCCTGCTCAGTCCCGCCGGCCGGGGATGGAGGAAGTTGCGCTTTCCGCGCCGTGGGTTACGTAGTCTAGGCGTTTAGCATCTGGTAGACTACAGACCCAAGATTTGTCTACAGAAAGGAACTAGAACGCTAGAATGCTAGACGAACTCGAGGGAGCGGAGCACGTGGCAACACAATGGTTCGTGGAGCTGCCCAGAAGGGGGATCGAGTGGTCCCATAGGGACCACCGTCTTGGATGTGATAAAGACAGACCGGGGCGTGTGGCCAGAGGGCCATTCATGGAAGGTTAGTGGGACCTCTGGGGTAATAGAAGTCTGGTGGGATGATACCGGGAAATCAATAGGAGCTAATTAGGAATGTTTTTGTCAATATATTCATGGGGGCTTGTGGGTTGTGTTCATTGATTGATTAATGAGGAGGTTGTGCAGTTGGCAACTAGAAAATAGAGAGGTGTTTGGGGGTGTGTTCCCCAAGGGATTGATGACGATATAATATACAATGGGTTAATGGATAGTGATGGGGCATAATAATCAAAATGGTGAGGCTACAGAGGAAATAACAAAGATGGATGGGAGTCCTGATTAAGGCACTAACAGGAGCAGTGTTAAAATAAGACACAATGAGAGGCTGATGAGCTTGTGTTGGGATGTTGTGCCATGATCATGGAGGAATTAATAGGGGCAGAGTGAGCAAAGAGTGGGTAATAGAAAGCTGTTGGGATGTAGTCATCAAATGATCAGTGGAAGGCAGGATGGGCAGTAAGGAAATAATGGGGGAATGGGGAACTTACCTCTGAGCATCATGGAGTAATGCTATTGTATGTTAATGAAGGGTTACCAGATGACTAGTGGTGTGATCTATAGGTCAATTGGAGTGCTGAGTTAATGGGATCTGATAAATCAATACTTGAGAACTTAATGGGGAGCTAACAGGCCATAATCCTCTAGGCATAATCAGGTGTTAAGGATGTCGTAAGAAGTTATTACTGGGAGCCTAATCATTGAAGGGATAAGTGGAGGATGGGTAGACAGAAAAAGATTAAGGAGATGGGAAGTACAGCGTACAGCGAGGGTAAAATGGATGAAAAGCAAGGGGTTAATCAGGGGCTAATAGGGCTCTTTGGAATAACTGAAGAAATGGTCAGTAAGATGTTAATGGGGATGAAGTGGGCAGAGACAGGTGAGAGAGTCACAGAGCCAGGTGCGGTGGTGCTTGCCTGTAATCCCAATGACTCGAAAGGCTGAGGCAGGAAGATTGCAAGTTTAAAGCCAGTCTTGGCAATTTAGCAAGGCCCTAAGCAACTTAGTGAGACTTTGTGTCAAAATTGAAAAATAAAAAGAGCTGAGTTGTAGCCCCGTGGTTAAGTCCTCCTGGGTTAAATCCCCAGTACCAAAAAAGAAAAGAAAGGAAAGGAAAGAACTATGAGACACAGATTACTGCATGGAGTGTCAGTAACAGGGATGGATAGTGGACAGGGTTCAGTAACAGGTCATTCTATCAAATAACTTTTGGGTTTGTGGGATCTTCAGGGTAAGTGTCTGTGATGAGCAATAGGGCCTGAGAAATTAGTGATAGGATCTTTGGGGCCCCATGAGGTCAGTGGGGTCAGTGGGTGGACTTCAGTTTTCTCAGGAGTTCGGTGAGTGGTCTTGTGCATCCCGTGAGCATAGTTAAGTGTGCATGATTCTCTCTGCCCTGCATAGGTAGGTGGTGGCCCACTCACTTGGTTACTAATACACAGTGGCATCAGCTGACTGCTGACAAGTCCTTGAGCAGTGTGAAATGGGACGGACATCAAAGGACAAGCGGGATGTCTACTACCGTCTGGCCAAGGAGAATGGCTGGCGGGCCCGCAGTGCCTTCAAGCTGTTACAACTCGATGAAGAATTCCAGCTCTTCCAAGGTCCCTAACTGGTGGGCAAGTCACCCTTGGGGGAGGATCGGCACAGACACGTGCCTCATTCTGCAGAGCTTCCTGCCATGGGTGGGCTGATTGGAGGGTCTCTGGGGCAAGCAGGAAGATGAGTCAAATACTCAGGAGGATGTTGGCACCTGGGCAGTAGGTAGACATGGATGCTCCCCACGGGAGAGGGATAAACTTTGCAGGGTCCTCAGGCTTGAGAGATGGGTGCGGCTGACCAATATACTTTCACTGTGTGTGCCCAGGTGTGACACGGGCAGTTGATCTATGTGCAGCCCCGGGCAGCTGGAGCCAGGTGCTAAGCCAGAAGATTGGGTAAGTGGTAGGAGAGGTTAGGAGGGACCAGGTGGGGGAAGGGCCAGAAGTGAAAACTGGGCTGATGTGGGCCACATTGTCCACAGGAGCCAGGGGTCTGGACAAGTTGTGGCTGTGGATCTGCAGGCTATGGCTCCACTACCAGGTGTGGTACAGATCCAGGGAGACATCACCCAGGTGAGAATGTGGTTGAGGGTATTGGGGTGTATTCTGAGTGAAAGCCACCACCTGGGGGCTGTGGAAAGTGGAAGATAGAGCAATAGAATTAGAAAGAGGGCTGGGTGTGTAGCTCAGTGGTAGAGTGATTGCCTAGCATGTGCAAGGCCCTGGGTTTGATTCCCTAGCACTGCAAAAAGAGGGATGGGAGGGGGTAAACAGGCTAGAAAGACAAAGACTACCAGCTGAGAAACAACCAGCAGGTTGTTACCACAGGGCAGCCACAAATAATGATGACACTGGGTCCCTAGACATGGAACCCTATTCTTTGAAAACTTGGATTACCCAGGGCCTTCCAGTCTAGGGCCATGAGCAGGTGGGGTTCAAGGGAAGTAATGGGGAGCCCTGGGGCCACTCATCATCCCTCTTTTTCTAGCTTTCCACTGCCAAGGAGATCATCCAGCACTTTGAGGGCTGCCCTGCGGACCTAGTGGTGTGCGATGGGGCTCCCGACGGTAAAAGTGGGGAGGAGTATCCTTCTCGGTGCCTCTCACCTTAATTGACTTTCTGCCTCTTCCTTCTGTTCTCAGCTTTTCTCCACATCTTGCAACTTATGCCCACCTCTGCTGCCTGTTCTCTGCCTCTGTCTTTGCTCCCACCCCTACCAGCCTTTCGGGTTTTGTTTTGTTTTGTTCTACAGGATTGGGGATAAAACCCAGGTCTCATGCATGCCAAGCAAGTGCTTTACCACTGAGCCACATCCCTAGTCTTCAGTTTTGGTTTTGTGCCTCTTATCCACCCTTCCTTCTTCTCTCTGAACCTGTTGAATTCCACATTACTTTTTTTAATCCAATCAGTCATCCATTCAAAACTCATTTGTGGCTGGATGTGGTAGCACATGCCTAAAGGCTACCAGGAGGCTGAGGCAGGAGGATCGAAAATTATATGCCAGCCTGGGCAACTTAGTGAGACTCTGTCTCAAAATTTAAAAAATAAAGAGCTGGGGATATAGCTCAGTGGTAGAGTGCTTGCCTAACATATGCAAGACCCTGTTCTGTCCCCAGTACTATATACACACAAAAAAATTTGCTGAACACCTGTTACGTTGGGAAGAAATTCACAAATAAAATTTCATTGATCTGTTGGGTATGGTGGTACAAGCTGGTAATCACTGCTACTTGGGAGACTGAGGCAAGAGGGATCTTAAGTTTGAGGCGAGCCTGAGCAATTTAGCAAGACCCTATTTAAAAAATTAAAAGAGGGCTGTGTATGTAACTCAGTTGTAGAGCACTTGCCTTGCTTGCATCAAGCCCTGTGTTTAGTCCTCAGTGTACACACACATACATAGAGACTCCACTTCATGGAGCTCATGTTCTAGTGGGAGCAGATGGGAAAAAAAATAAATGATTAACTAGCTGGGCATGGTGGCACATGTCTGTAATCCCCACAACTCAGGAGGCTAAGGCAGGTGGATCACAAGTTCACAGCCAACTTCAGTCATTTAGTGAGGCTGTAAGCAACTTAGACCCTGTCTCAAAATACAAAATAAAAAATGGCTGGGAATGAAGTTGGGTGATTAAGCACCCATGGGTTCAATCCGTAGTACCCAAAAATAACAATGGTAAAATAAAATATGACTGAATATCTAGCATGTTAAAAAGTAATTGGTAAAAGCTAGAGATGTAGCTCAGTGGTAGAGAGTGCTTGCCCAAGATGTGCTTAATTTCCAGCACTACCACACACCACACACACACACACACACACACTCTCTCTCTCTTTCTCTTTCTCTCTCTCACACACACACAATGGGATATGTACCATAGGGAAATCAATGAAACAGGCAAATAAATGGGAAATGTGTTGGAATTTTAAATAGACAGTGAAGGCCTCACCTTCTTGACAGCAGAGACCTAAAGGAGGTGAGGGAGCAAGCCATGGATATATATCTGGAGGAAGAGTGAGCCAAGCAAAGTTTCAGCCTGTGCAAAGACTCTGAGGTGGGAAGGTGCTCAGTATATATGAGGAAGAGTGGAGAGATCAGTGTTGTTGGAACAGAGTAAGGGGGGGGGGCAGTGATATGAAATAAGGCAAAGGGCTGGGATGTGGCTCCGTGGAAAAGTACTTGTTTGGCATATGTGATACCCTGGGTTTAATCCCCAGTACCGTTAAAAAAAAGGAAATAAGAAAAGTGACAGGAGACAGATGCTGGTGGGCTGCAGTGATGATGTTGCCTTTTTCACTGGGATGAATGCTTGGAGAAAACTGTGAGAGGGCTAGGCATGGTGATGCACATCTGTAATCCCAGTGACTCGAAGGGCTGAGAATGTGGCTTGGTGGTTAAGTGCCCCTGGATTCAATCCCCAGTACCAAAAACAAACAAACAAAAAATGGAGTATCATGGGCAGAAGACTGTGCCTGGCTTAGCTTGTGGCAAGACCCACAGCTGTTTAAGCAGTGGGAGGGACAAGGGTGGAAACAGGGCCCCAGGAGGAAGAGGCCACTGTAGTAGTCCAGGTGAGTGATAAATGGCTATGGTGGAAAGAAGAACTAAGGAACTGGGCCTAAACAACTGGAAAGATGAAGTGAGTGAAATGGGGAAGATGGGGAGAGGAGCAGGTTTGAGAAGGGAGATCAGGAGTTTGCTTTTGGACTTGTTGGAGCTGTGCGATCTTGCCTGTCAATCTGGAGCTCAGGGAAACCATCTAGACTGGAAGTGGAAATGATAGTGTTGCTTGTGCTGTGCATGTGTTTGGAGAATTACAGTTATTTCCTAAGGGTTAGTAGCTCAGAATATTCCTCCAGTTGGCAGATACTAATTTGCATCCAGAATCTTAGCAGATGGCAACTGTTGTTTTTGGCTATCTAATATCTCTGGTATGAGAAGAAGCATAGAACAAGATCAGCCCCCCTAATGTTCTTCGTCTCACCACAGTTACTGGCCTCCATGATGTGGATGAGTACATGCAGGCCCAGCTCCTCCTAGCCGTGAGTAATGTCTGGCCACCCCTGCCCTCCTTTGGTCCCCTCCCAACTATCTGCACCTCAGCCTCAGCCATCTGTCCTGCTCACAGGCTCTGAACATTGCTACACATGTCTTGAAGCCAGGGGGCTGCTTTGTGGCCAAGGTAAGTCTTGGGCAACCTGGTAGAGTATAGAGAGAGGTCATTGAGGGCTGTCCTTACCTCTCCATCTTGGCCTCTCCACCCTACAGATATTCCGAGGGCGGGATGTGACCCTGCTTTATAGCCAGCTGCGGGTCTTCTTCTCCAATGTGCTCTGTGCCAAGCCCAGGAGCAGCCGGAACTCCAGCATTGGTCAGTGCAGCAGAGCCCAGGCTGGCAATGGGCTACTTGGGAACTCAACCAACACGGGGTGGAGGTGGCAGTCCTTTACCCCTCACTCCAGATTCCCCCCACAGAGGCCTTCGCTGTCTGTCAGGGTTATGACCCTCCTGAGGGCTTTGTACCAGACCTGACCAGACCCCTGCTGGACCATTCGTACGGTGAGAGCCAAAGCTTTGGGCCCATCACTGGGGAAACTAACCCCAGCCTTATGCAAGTGATGTGTCTTCAGCCTCACCCCCTGGGGACTATTTTGTCCCAGAAGAGCTTCAACCCAGTTAGTCCCCTAGTGGTAACTCTTGATCTTGGTGAAAACTCTGTCCTTGGAGGATCCTAAGCCCTGTCCCAGGAAAGACTTCACCTGCCTAAGAAAATTCTGTCTTAGGAAGACCTTAGTTATACACCCCCAGGTGGAAAGCTCTCCCTTGTCAAACTTTTGCCTCATGGGGTTTTTTTCATGTGTGTGTATGTGTGTGTGGTGGTGGTGGTGCTGGGATTGCAACCTGGGGCCCAACCCACACTGGGCAAGTGCTCTACCACTGAGCCACATCCCCAGCCCCCATGAGGTGAGGGTCTCTAGCCTTGACCTCCCCCCATGGGAAATGACAGATCCTGCCCTCAAGGGCATCAAATTACAATGAGATAAGGAGCAAACAGTGTATAGTAGAATGCTGGGTGAACATGAGTGGCACTGAAAAATCAGAGCAAGGGCCAATGTATTAGAAGGGGTGGCTGGGAGGGCGCCCCTTCCCCCCAACCAAAAAACAGGTTGTTGGTAGAGGAGGAGAGCAGTTGGTAGCTATGTGGGGACAATTGGTCACCCATACTGCAGCCTGAATTATGACTGGCCTCGTCCTCAGTATCTCTTTGCCTGTTTCTAAGACTCAGATTTCAACCAATTGGATGGTCCCACCCGCATCATTGTGCCTTTTGTGACCTGTGGGGACCTGAGTGCTTATGATTCGGATCGCAGTTACCCACTGGATGTGAGTGCCAGCCATCAGGAGGCGGTTGGGGAAGGCTATCCTAGGTTCTCAGATTATCACTATCTCCATGCCTTTTGTATCCCCACAGCTGGAAGATGGCTCCGAGTACAAGTATACTCCACCCACACAACCCCCCATTTCACCCCCATACCAGGAGGCCTGCACATTGAAGAAGAAGGGGCAGCTGGCCAAGGAGATCCGTCCCCAGGACTGCCCCATCAGCAAAGTGGACACATCCCAGCCCCTGGCCAATCCTCAGTGCCACAGCCTGCTGGGCTCTGAGGTCTGGAGACATGGCTCTGAGCCCACATAGACCCCCTCCCAATGTAGCTCTTTGCCCTGAGTCACATGCTTCTACTTTCTTGCCTCCCAATAGCTATAAAAATAGTGGGTTGGGGTTGTGGCTGAGTGGTAGAGTGCTTGCCTAGCATGTTTGAGGCACTGGGTTTGATCCTCAGAACCACGTGTAAATAAATAAAAAAGGTACATCAACAACTAAAAAATATTTTTAAAAAATAATGGGTTGGGGGTTGGGGATATAACTCAGTTGGTAGAGTGCTTGCCTCGCATGCACAAGGCCTCTGGGTTCAATCCCCAGCACCACATACACACACAAAAAAACTGGCAAATCTTAACTATATGTTAATTGTACCTCAATAAAATTGACACAAAAAATGTTTTAAAAAATGATGGGTTGGGGTTGGGGCTAAATGGTAGAAGCTTGCCTAGCACATGTGAGGCACTGGGTTTGGTCCTCAGTACCCCATAAAAATAAATAAAATGGGAGTATAGTGTCCCTCTTCAACTAAAATATATAAAAAATAATGAGTTGATCCATGCATGGTGGCACATGCTTGTAGTCTCAACCACCAAAAGAAAGAAAAAATGGGTCTACTCAAGCAAAATAAAAAGATTTTACCAAATATCTGAGTCCCTTTTCTTTTTCTTGGGTAGATGGAAGACAATGAAATGAATTATTCGTCTTAACACAGTAAGGTAAGTTTCCTTTTTATCTTATGGGGTCAAGTAAAGGGGAAAAGCTCAGTAAAATATCGCCTTATTGTTTTGGAGATGGGGGTGGAGGGAATTTTCACTATATTTCCCAGGCTGGTCTCAAATTCCTGAGCTCAAGTGATCCTCACTTAAGCCTCAGTCTCAGTCCCTAGCTGGAACTATAGGCTTTTTTTTCCTTATTTTTTTTTAGTTGTAGATGAACAAATACCTTTATTTTATTTATTTATTATTATGTGGTGCTGAGGATAGAACCCAGGGCCCCCACATGTGCTGCGCAAGTGCTCTACCGCTGAGCCACACCCAGCCCTGGAACTATAGGCTTTCACCATCACACCCAGCTAAATTTCACCTTTGCATCAACAAATAATATTTGAATTTATTTATGTCATGCTGAGGATTGAACCCAGTGCTCCACACATGTGAGGGAAGCACTCTTCCACTGAGCCACAGCCCTGGCACCACTTTGAGCATTTTACATATTACCTGTTGATGCATTCAATAAATGTTTATGACATACTGTGTGCCAGGCATTGCTCTAGGTTGATAGAGCATGGAACAAAAGAGGTAAATAGCCCTCACTGAGCTACTACTTTGGGAAAGAGTTAATAAATAATAAAACAGTCTTTGAATTGATACATTGTAAAAAGCTTATATAAGTTATTTTTATATATCTTGCAATATATATACAAACATGTATGTATGTATATCTTACAACACTGTCATGTGCTGCATAATGAAGTTTTGGTCAGTGGTGGACTGCATGTACTATGGTGGTCCCATAAGATATATAGTGATGATGTACTGATCTTGGTTTGTGTAAATACACACGATGACATTCATACAGTGATGAAATTGCCTCAGGACATTTCTCACAACATGTCCTTTTTTTAAGTGACAAGATTGTATATGTAATATGTAAAAGTAATATGGGATATAAAAAATAGAAAATGATAAAGCAGAGTAAAGAGAATCCGGGATTCTAGGCATAGTTGTTTGGGGGTTTTTAAAGGATTGTCAAGGAAGGCCTCCCTGAGGTTTTCAGCAAAGACCTGAAACAGCTAGGGAAGGGAATCCATATTTACTTAGTAGAGAGCATGCCAGGGAGAGGAACTGTGTTGGAAAACAGCATGGGTCCAGTTGACCTGTAGCAGATTAGGCTAAACTCCAAATGTTGGAGGACCCTTCCTTCTTTCCTTCATCTCCTCTAGCTCCCACAGTGATTCCCCCATAGCACTGTGGAACCCAGGACCTCATGCATGCACTCTACCACAGAGCTACACGCCCATCCCTAAGGGTACCCATTTTTGACAGTGGCCTAACAGGTTGTCCAGTCTTTTGTTAAAAAGATACCTTTTTAAAATTGAACAGGGCTGGGACCAAGTACAGTGGCTCACATCTTTAATCCCATCTACTAGGGAGGCTAAGGAGAATTGTAAGTTCAAGGCCAGCCTCGGCAATTAAGCAAAACCCTGTCTCTAAAAAGGCTGGGGGTATATAGTTCAGTGGTTCTAGGTTTAATCCCCAGCACATTTTTTTTTTTAATTGAGGGACTGAAGATGTAGCTCAGTGACTGACCACTTTCCTAGCATGTATGTGGACCTGGGTTCAATCCCTATCACACAACAAAAAGTATATTTTTTTTCTAAATAAGGGGCTGGGGTTGTAGCTCAGTACTAGGTTGCTTGCCTAGCACATGTTAGGCATTGGGTTTGATCCTCCACTGTGTAATATAAATCAAATGAAAATATGTGTCCATCTACATCTTGAAAAATGATAAAAAATTGAAACATCAAATCGCAATGGGGAAAGATATTTACAATCCTTACATATAGCACCTTTAATATTTAAAAGGCCCTAATAGCTATGTGCGGTTGCAAACACCTAAAATCCCAGTGACTCAGGAGGCTGGGGCAGGAGGATCACAGATTTGAGGCCAGCCTCAGCAATTTAGCAAGACTGTTTCAAAAAAAAATTTTTTAAACATATATATATATATTTATTTAATTGTAGTTGGACACAATACCTTTATTTTTATGTGGTTCTGAGGATGGAATGCAGTGCCTTGCACATGCTAGGTGAGTGCTCTACTGCTGAGCCACAAAGCCAGCCCCTCCAAAAAAATTTTTATAAAGGACTGCAGGTGTAGCTTAGTGGTAAAATACCCCTGGGTTCGATCCCTGGTACTTAAGTAAATAAAAGGTCCTATAAATCAATAAGGAAACAAAAATATGAAAATGGCCAGTGAGCACATGAAAAGATGCTGGTTGGAGAAACTTAAAAAAAATTGACAATACTAAGTTTTTGGAATGACATGCAACAATTTGAAACCAGGTACAATTGTACCAGAAACAAATGTACCATTGGAATACTAGGAATATAGGAGGTGCAGCCCCTGTGGAAAACTGTTAGATAGTATTTACTAAAATGTGTGTATGCCAATTCCACTCCTAAGAAATTTCTTGAGTACTAGAAAGGACTGGACCTCTTGGTTGCCATCTTCCTGGCAGTAGTCATGATACAGTTGCTGTTCCCCTTAACATCCACAAAGTTGGCCATAGGCATGCACATGGCTAATAGTTTGAGTTGTCTGTATTGTTGGTTCTACATAACACTGCGTATACCTGCCATTTGTTACCTCAATAAAATTACTACTTCTTCATTTTTGGTACCAGGGATTGAACTCAGGGGCACTCAACCACTGAGCCACATCCCCAGCCCTATTTTGTATTTTATTTAGAGACAGGGTCTCACTGAGTTGCTTAGCACCTTGCTGTTGCTGAGGCTGGCTTTGAACTCTTGATTCTCTTTCCTCAGCCTCCTGAGCTGCTGGGATTACTGGTGTGCATCACTGTGCCCAGCATCTTAACTGTTCTGAAGAGTACACTTCAGTGACAACTTTTTTCATCTTTCCAAATTAACTGACTTCCCTTAAACCCTAATGCCCCTAACTTGTGGTTTTCCTGCCTCAGCCTCCTGAGCCACTAGGATTATAGGCATGCGCCACCATGCCTGGCAAAATTACTATTTTTGAAATTAATATTTTTATGGATATTGTATGTTCATAGTAGCACCCCATTAAATCGTGGTCTATTCACAGTAGAGGACTACACAGCAATAAAATGAACATCCTGTAATTATACAAAATAACACCTTAACAGTTAATAAACTGAACATATGTTTTATGCATTTTTCTGTTATGGTTCACAGTAAAAGTAAGGGAGAAAGTTACTGAAAAAAAATATTAGCAGCTTAGTGAACAATGATTATAGTAAAAGAAAAATGGGAACTTTCTTCTTTTCCACGATGCTGGGAATTGAACACATCATCGTCACTTGCTAGGTAAGCACTCTGCCATGGAACTATACACCCAGCTCCTGAAAACATTTATTTTTGCTTAAAATTTCCTTTGTCTTTGACTTTCAGTTAGCTGGCAAGCTGATACAACTTAGAAGCTGCTGCCTGTCAGGAAAAACAGAACTTGAGTCGATGAACTTGTTTTCAAACATCAGCAAGACTTGAACAGACAAGCCTGGTGTGGAAATCTACAATAACCTCCACAAGGACAACAAAGACAGAACTAGTGCAGAAGTCTGCTGCAATAGAGTAGAACTTTCTTGAACTTGCGTGAGACCTACCTCTTCTCTAAACCTCTCTCGGGGTGTCCAGAACTTCCCCTGAAAGCAGGAATTTTACCTGGATAGATGTCAGGTGTATCCAATGTACTTGATGGAGGAAACTATTACATCTTTATTTTCAATAAAACTGAAATTTAGTTTTACTCCCAGTTATGAATGCTGCCCACAAATCACAACAGTAAAAGTGGTACCTGCAATTTTCCCATCAATGCAAGTCAGTTATTTTTTGTTTCATTACAATTGTTACAGACATCTTAAAATATTATTCACATTCTTTACCACTTTGGATGACAACAGATCTTATAATCTGATGTTCTAATAAAAATCCAATTGTTACATCCCAATTTTTTTCTGTTTAATATATAGTGATAATTGTGTTTCAGTAGAATTGATTGTAATATTTTGTGTGTGTGCAAGCACATGTGCACATTTGCTTTAAATATTTAAGAGCTGGGGGTATAGCTCACTGGTAGAGTGCTTGCCTAACATAGGCAATGCCCAGGATTCCATCCCTAATGCTGCCAAAAAAAAAAAAAAAAAACCTCTCTAAGCCCAGTACAGTGGCACACATACCTGTACTTGGGAGGCTGAGGTAGGAGGAATACTTGAGCCCAGGAGTTTGAGGCCAGACCAGGCAAATATAGCAAGACTCCATCTCAAGAAAATCTGTGGAAGGGATCCATAGATTTGATGAACTGTTATAGGGTTTCCAAAATAAATGTTTTAGATTCAAAACCCTTTTCTTACTGGGCATGGTGGCACATGCCTATAATCCCAGCAGCTTGGGAGGCTGAAGCAGGAGGATCACAAATTCAAAGCCAGCCTCTGCAACTTAGTGAGGCCCTAAGCAACTCAGTGAGACATCCTGTCTCTAAATAAAATATAAAAGGGCTGGGTATGTGGCTTAAATGCCCCTGGTTGAGTACCCCTGGGCTCAATTCCTGGTACCAAAAAACAAAGACCTCTCTTAAGCTGAGGCAGAAGAATCACAAGTTTGAGGCCAGTCTTGGCAATTTATTAAGACCATATCTCAAAAAAGGGCTGAAGATGTAGCTCAGTGCCCTCATTAAATCTTCAGTATGGGTGGGGGGCGGCTAGACTTCTAGCCAGAGAGAATGTTTTCTGCAACTTAATCCTGTATTATTAGGAACCCACACTGTGTGTGACCCAAGAAACATCCACACCCTAGACTGACCCGAGGCATTTCCGTATCTGGCTGTGACCCAAGGAGTGTCTGCACCCCAGTCTGTGTGGCCCAGGAATGTACATTCTTGAGTCAGAAGCAGTGTCCAATCCGTTTTGGAATTCCTGTTTAAACTGCAGTGTGTGGTTACAGGTGTATCTATATTTCAGTTTCTGGCCACAAGAATGACCACACCTATGTGTGACTCCAGAAATGTCCATTCCACACTCATGAGTCTAGGATAGAGTCCACACCACAGTGATTTAACCCAGGAGACTTTTTACCCAAGACAGTGTGACCACAGGAATGTCCACACACCAGTCTGTCTGGCCCCAGAATATGAACAACCTAGAATAACGGCAGAAGTGTCCACACAAAAAGCTTGTATGACCACAGGCATAGCCATACCCATTGTAGTGTGAATTCTGCCTGCAAGAGCCTGTGAGACCCACAAGAGTCACCACACCAGGCTTTGTGAGCCCAGTAACAGCGATGACTTAGTTTGTGGCTGCAAGAGTTTCCATAGCCCAGTTTTACTAGTGCCACAAGTGTGCATACTTCAAACTGTGACTAAAGAAAATTTCCACATTCCAGTCTGGGTGAACTCATGGGAGTATACAGCTCAGTCTGGTGTTCTGAGAATGGATTTGCCCTGGTCTGGCCACCTCTGAAGTGTTTGTACTCCAGTCTCTGTGACCCCAGTAGTGTCCTTTTGTAAGTCAATGTGATCCCAAGATGGGTATGACTGGAAGAAGTGATCCAGGCAAAGGAGGAAATCTATGCCAAGGCCAAGCTTGAGGCAGGAACTTGGCTGGCACATTTGAGGAATAGCAAGATCAGTGGGCTGGAGGAGAGTGAGCAAGAGAGCCATTAATAGGAGGTGGGGTAAGAGAGGACCTGTAAGGCTTCATGGGTCATGAAGAGGACTTCAGATTTTTCTCTGAGAGACAGGAATCACTCAAGGAGGGGCTCTGCAGAATAAGGCCATAGCTGACTTAGGTTGTAACACAATCCTTTTGGCTGCTGTGGTGATGGTTACCTGACAGTTTCTGAGAACTCTAAAAAGATGAAATTCATTGTACATAAATTGTAACTCTAAATTTAGACATGCTTTTTAAAGTGCAACACTTTGCAAGGAATAAAGAGTTCTATGGCTGGCCAGGAGCAGTGGCACAAGCCTGTAATCCCAGCTACTCTGGAGGCTGAGGCAGCAGAATTGCAAGTTCAAGTCAGCCTGGATAATTTGGTGAGACCCTGTCTCAACATTAAAAAAAAAATTTAAAAAGTGGCTGGGGATGTAAATCAATGATAAAGAATGTACCTGGGTCGTTTCCCAGTAACATCAAAGAATTATATGGGGGCTGGGGCTGTAGCTCAGCAGCAGAGCGCTTGCCTAGCATGCATGAGGCACTGGGTTCGATCCTCAGCACCACATACAAATAAACAAAATAAAGGCATGCTGTCCATCTACAACTGCAAACACACACACACACACACACACACACACACTCATACATACACATCCAAAACAAAAAAGAGTTACTTGTCTATGAGGTAAAGGCTGTTGAGATCATGCCTACTATTCCTGCTCTCCTCCTGTGCTTTCTGCACTGACATGTCCAGGAATGTGCCTGAGGAGGAAGGGGAGTCCTGGCCTCCCTACAGCTGCTTAAAGTAGCACTTCGTTTATTGTCTATTATACACTAAATTGTGGCTTCAACAAATTCAAATAGTGAAGTTTAGTCCCCAATGTGACTATACAGTCACTCTAGATATCCATGAATAACTGGTTACAGGACCCCACTACCACCACCCAAATCCCCAGATGCTTAAGCCCTCATATTAAATGGCATAGTATTTGCATATAGCCTACACATATCCTCCCATGTACTTTAAATAATTTCTAGATTACTTATAACACTTACTATGATGATAATGCTATGTAAATGGCTGTTACACTGTATTGTTATTTTTAATATTAATTTTTAGTTATAGGTGGACACAATATCTTTATTTTATTTTTATGTGGTGCTGAGGATCAAACCCAGTGCCTCATGCATGCTAGGCAAGCGCTCTACCTCTGAGCCACAATTCCAGCCCCCAATGTATTGTTATAATGACAAGGGGAAAAGTCTGTACATATTCAATACAGATGCAGTTTTTCTGAATATTTTCTGAAATTGGTTGAATCCACCGATGCAGAATCCACAGATACAGAGGATTGATTATTTGGAGAGCTGGCCTGCAAGGAGATGATTAAAGTGAAATGAAGTCAGAAGTGTGGGGTCCTAATCTGATAGGACTATTGTTGCTGTAAGAAGAAAAATGCAGGGCTGGGATCATGGTAGAGCGCTCGCCTAGTATGGGCGGGACCCAGGTTCGATTCTCAGCATCACATAAAAATAAAAGCATTGTGTCGTGTCCATCTACACCTAAAAAATAAATATTAAAAAAAAAGAAGAAGAAAAATGCCAGGCTTGGTAGAACACACCTGTTATCCCAGCAATTCAGGAGGTTGAGAGAGGTCAAACTTGGCAATTTACCATGACCCTATCTCAAAATTAAAGGGGCTGGGGAGGGCTGGGGCTGTGGCTCAAGCGGTAGCGCGCTCGCCTGGCATGCGTGCGGCCCGGGTTCAATCTTCAGCACCACATACAAACAAAGATGTTGTGTCCGCTGAAAACTAAAAAATAAATATTAAAATTCTAAAAAAAAAATAAAATAAAAAAATAAAGGGGCTGGGGATGTAGTTCTTTGGTAAAGCACCCCTGGGTTCAATCACCAGTACCACCAAAAAAAAAAAAAAGAAGGAGGAGGAGGAGGAGGAAGAAGAGGAGAAGGAGAAGAAGGAGGAGGAGAAGAAGAAACACCAGAGCCTCCACCATCTGTACCCACACAGAGCAAAGGCCACATGAGGACAGATTGAGAAGATAGCTATCTACAACTCAGGAAGAGAGACCTCACCAGAAACCAACTTCACTGGTATTTTGACCTTGGATGTCCAAACTTCAGAACTGTGAGAACATAAATGTGTATCATTCAAGCCCCCCAGCCTGTGGGGTTTTGTTATTGCGCCAAAGCAACTGATATATGACCTGTCATTTTCAGGGATGATATCAGGAGACTCATCTTGACAATGTGTGAGAGGAGCAGGCAGTCAAATGAAGGAAGGAAAATTTGGCATAGCCTCCTCATCTAGTAGAAGGAGGCTCTGGAGCTGAGAGAACTGGTTGAACAGCTCAGGGAAAGCCAGAGATGATATTCATGGGTCCTGAGGGCTGTGCCCATGGAACATCCTCAGCTATATTGCAGGTTGAGTAATAATTACCTGGAGAGATTTCAGAACTGCCCACAGTCATCTTCTACTGCTCCACCCAAACCTGGTCTTGCCAGGTTATTTTCCCACACAACACATGCTGTTTTAAAGCCCTCATGCCTTGGATCAGAAAAGTAGGCCCAATGGTATCATCTCAGGCCTAGTGGTAGCCCAAGGGGAGTAGTAAACATCTAAGTCTCTCTAGAAGACCACATAGGGGCTGAGGAAAGCTGAGAGGAATCATGGGCCTTGCTTGTGCCTCGCCAGAAAGTTCTGCCAGATGGAGGAGCTGGGAGCCATTATTAGCCAGGCAGTATTGGTGGATGAAAGCCAAAGAGGATAACTGGTTGTGTGTGCCTGCACAAAAGTGTGTGTACATACATGTGTGCATCCCAGTATGTGTGAAGTTGTGCACATGTGTATTTATGCCTCTGTGTTGTGTACATTTTAATGCTTTTGTGCATGCATGCATGCATGATACATGCTGTTTAAGATGAAGGTATGCTTAAATACACAGGTATGCTACACAACTGCAAGTGTACATTCTTATGGAGATGCTAGAGTACCATGTGTTTGTTTGTTTTCTGGTACTGGGAATTGAACCCAGAGGTGCTTAACCCTGAGCCACATCCCCAGCCCTTTTCACTTTTTATTTTTGATATAGGGTCTCACTAAGTTACTGAGGGGCTTGCTAAATTGCAGAAAATGGCCTCAAACTTGAGATCCTCCTGCCTCAACCTCCCAAGCCACTGGGATTACAGGTGTGCACCACCATGCCTGGCTCTGACAAAGGTATATGTGAAAAACAACATGCGTATACACTGGGGGGGG